TTAAAATTTCATCTTTAAAGAACGTTGCCAGTGAAGCTACCACATGTTCCTGTAAAAACAAAACCATGTCGCAAAAGTTACATCAAGTCACAACTTAATCAGTTAAGCGGGCGATAAACTAAACAATCTTAAAAGAATTACCTTAATCTCTAATGATAAATCGACCATGTTATCCAGGCGTCCAGAAACACCACCACAGTTTAGACACTCCACTGCATACAAAGAAAATGCGGATTAGTTAGTTCCCGCTTCAAAATTATGAAATTTTTTAAAACAATATACTTATATAAATCTTTGGTTGCTGGAATTAATATAATGTACCGAACTCACCTTCAGAGGTTATATTTCCGGTAAACAAAGACGTAATTGCTTCAGTTCTGAAAAAAAGGAGCAGATGATTATACTGAAATCTCAATCAGGAATTGTGTCAACCCTTTGTCTACTTTTTAAAAAGACATCATCTACTATAAGACGAACACTTACCCCCTGGCCATGTCAATGTTGTTCAAAATTCCTAGCAATAACTCATGGGCGTCTTCTTGACGGCCGGCAGAAAGAGTGTTGGACAAACCTGTATGGTAACATTACATGTTGATTAAAATACGATTGCACATAACATCATAAAATTCAAAGATCCTAAATATGCATCCTACAAAACTGTTTCTAACAAGGTGTGCGGATACCTGTTTCGTAAAATGTGGCTTCGCAGCTTATTAACTCTGTGAGCCTGAGCATAGCTATGAAGTCGCCATGTTTTCCGCCACAGTTAACTCACTGACACGTTAATGGCTTTTGTTTTCTCTATCATTCCCTAGAATTTCTGTTATTTTTTTTATTTGATAAAAATGGTACATATTGTATGGTATACATTGTATTGTATTGTGTACTGAATCACAATTCAACTTTTTTTCAGTAAAAAAAAAGGAAATCTGAACAAAATTTGTGCTCATGGAATCCGAAAAAATATTCTTGATACCAAGATGGCCGCTCGATCCGTTTCTTACTAAAAATGTGTAATACCTGTTTCCTTATAACCCTTCACCGAAATGCCGTTGCGCTTCAAACTTGGTCAAAACACTTTGAAAAGGACACACGAGAACTTCAGTGTTACATTACACGTAACGCGTGACCAAAAGTATAGAAATCGTCACGGAAAGGTCCGCGTTCGCGCTAAGGGTCAGAGACGAGATAAAAAAAAATCGCTGTAAAAGATAACAGGCCCTGCACGCTCGTCGCAAAAAACAATATAGTCCGGCTTTAGAATAGTGCTGCCTCAAGTACGTACCCGAGAAATGCTTTCCTTTCTGTAATAGATCCAAATTTAAAATTTCTCTGTTGTAGCTGTCATACTAACATTTGACATTTACACTTTCCAGACCCGTCGTAATGCAGGATCAGTAGTAGTCGCTGAATGCTCCAATCACTGAGTAAATTTCTCAGCCCGTGATTTTGATTTTGATTTCTCTATCACCGTGACAGAAAAAAGTCTAATTAATTTAATACGATTCAAAGAGCAATGGTTTTCGGTTCCTCAGAGTTTATTTTGCGGTTAAATTGTGTTTGGAGCTAGGGAGTACTTTCGCTGATAGGCGTATGGTGTTATTGAATGTAGCATGAAACATTTGTTTTGATATTCATACGAATGCAACTGTGGTTACTATTCAACACAGCATTTCTGAGAACTGGCTATAGGTCAGCAGTACGATTTCAACCTCACTTCAGTCCTTTAATTCTAAAAGTCGGATGTCGACTGGCATGGCTGGCTCCTTCAGCCGTCCACCGTTACGACACCAAAACTGCGAGTAAACTCGCAAAATACAGAGATACTGATAGGCTGTAGCGGAACAGTTAGATTTTCTCAAAGTCCCTTCCAATACTCGTTTTCCATATAGTCAGGTTCTTCGTTGGAAGGGACTTTTCCCACTTGCAGTGCGGGAAATTTACCGGTGGATTTTTCCACGGCGGTGACGTAAGAAGCATATTGGCCAATGAACAAGCAATTTCTGAACTACGTCATAAACTCGCGCGTGGTCAAAGCGCTGAAAATTTTACTCAGATATGAAATCAAATTTTAACTCAAAATTATGGTTGCCGCGCTCGTAATGTACTTCGTTTTCAAAATCGTATTTTTGTATTATCGGAGTTATAACACACATTTCAAGTATTTAAAATGGCATGAAAAAGTTACAAAGAATACTCAGTTGCCGGCATGTTGGGAAAGAAGAGCTTAAAGCGATGAAATCTTCCTTCGAGGAACTTCATGTTTAAATCAAAGTAGGGCGATATTTCTGCCTTCGGACGCCAGAGCCGAAGAAGCGGAGTTTTAAAGGATTTTCAAGCAGCCGAGGGACATCACGGTAAATGAAATAAGACTTTTCGATGGGAATTTCTGTTGATATAAATTTGTGATTGACTTTTTCTTTCTTTTTTTTTTCATTAATTTTTGAGAAATGTTTATAAAACGTGCTAAATTTCATGAATTTTGTTTTTGCGAAGACAGTTCCTTGATGCACCAACGGTACACGTTTTGCTTTTAGGATAAACTAACGGATATTTGAATAAAACAGGATTTTGCTGTCTTTTCTTGTGTTTGCTCATTCATTGGATAGGTTGAACAGCGATTTTTATGTAAAAAAGATAAGACTTGCGCGCATTTTACAGTTCTAGGCTTCACGCGCGTTGCCCTAGCAAAGGTAAGCAAAGATGTCCGGCAAGTTTTTGAAATTTCGATTTCCAAATCAGTTTCTCGGGTGCCACCATTGATGAAAGTGCTGTTTTGTGGCCTGAAATGATCAGATGTGAAATCATTGACAAACATGAATTTTTATACGATAGCTCTTGAGTACGGCTTGTGTTGTCCATAGATAAAAAAGACGCTTTGAAAGGAGAACTGAAAACTGTGGTATAGATAGGGATTCAAAAATTTATCGGCAAAGACGCGTTTCTCGGGAATTTTTTGTGTTTTGAAAGCACCGTTATCATCGACTGGTTGTGATGTGGTCTCCTGTGTGGTCCTATATTAAAGACCCAAACGCTATATTAAGTTAGAACAGTGTGTGTCATTAAACTCATTGAACAATCCTGCTCCTCCATGGGAAAGCTTATATTCTCGAGGCACGTATTTTCCCGCTTATAGAACTATTCGGATTCAAGTTATCGTTCAATCGGGTGATTTTTTTTTATGTATTCTTTTTATTGTAATAAGTTGCTGTTTGTCGTCGCTTTTCAGCCAAGAAAACTTTCACGGCGTTGAAACTTTCCCGTTACTGACAACAAGCTTAATACTGCTGTCTTGTCACAATCTCAACGCCTCGAACAGGCGAAATTTCCCCATACGTTTGTATGTCTTCGGGTTAAAATTCTAGTGGACAACATATCCGTTGCCAAGGCCTCGAAATCCAAGACAAAGTGGACTATTGAAAACAAACAACCAGTCGTCTCTTTCTTTCTCTTTTATGCGCTTCAATTTGTTTTCTTGTTTACTTGCTTCATTCTACCTTTTATTTTGTCACAAATAACTATGATTTCACTTACAATTAACTTGATTCTTGAACATGATTCCTCTTGCTTCTCCAGTAAGACCAGATAGTACCATGCTGGCGATCTCGCATAAAGCGCAAAATGGTAAATTGTCATCAATCCCAGAACCTATATTAGGATGACAAGAGAATATTATCTCACAATATCTATATTAAGGATGCCAAGAAAAATTGCTGGTGAATGAAGAATGACGGTGTTCACAGCTGCAGAACATTAACGTTAACTTACTTGAGCATTGTTGTACTTGATGGTGCTCCAAAGCCAAAGACACAAAGTCCTTGTTGGATAACAAACACTGGAGAACAGAGTTAATATAGCATGTATTGCCCTCGTTGGGTATACCAAATGGTGTACTCAGGTCCAAACGCAACATTTTACTATCCTAGAGCTTTCTATAAATATAAACCCGTATAAAAGCTTTAAGATTTTTTTCTCAAAAGAGAACTAAAACGGAGCAACGTGTTTAGTCTGATTCCCCGCGTTGACGCAGTTCCGGCCGGATACCCAACTGATTGACAGGCAGTTATTTATAAATTAAGCTGCCATCAATCACTTGAAAAGAAAATCATATACGCACCAGTTTCAAGAGTAATGTGACAAACTTTATATCAGTATAAAGCGTAATAACTTTGGTCTTTGCAAAAAATAAAATTTCAGGGACGTTCTTTACGAATGGCTAGGAGCCCATAAGCCGACAAACGATCCAAAATATAGTATCGAATGGCACTGCAATAGCGCGAAATTTGAAGCGGGCCATCTTCGCATTTAACTTGGGCTTTTTTCAATTCTACCTACATAAAACCGCAAGAAAATACAAGTGTCGTTTGCCATAAGTTATTTCGCTTGCAAAGGATAAACTGATTTAGAATTGCTCAGTCGCTTCATACTAGTAAAATTTCCATTTGATAGCGAACTGATTTTTGCGAATGCAAGTGCGAATGTGACAAAACAATAGCGCGGAAACAGACCAATTTCAGTAGCTTACTCAAAGCGGTCCAATTAATCTATAACACCTGAGCCACGAAAAAAAAAACACTTTGTGAAATTTCTCAGGGCACTGAGTCATGCATGAGAAGTCGATGGAAATTTGATGGGTTTCCAATTTAAAATGGGAATCGCGCTGCGCACAATTACTTAAAATAGATCTGTGATGTCATTTGTACACAGCGCTGGCGTCAAGTTAGAAAAATATGTCTGCCTCTCAGCAAGAATTTAAATGCATCTTCTGTCATCGGTTATCCGATGAAACTACTTGCTCGTCGTGCGGCAGTGAGTGCAGGAAAAGGAAAAATGCTCAATTGTTGCAAAATGCCCTCAGATGGTCCTCCGCTTGTAAAAAGACCAAATTCAACGTACCAAAACAACTTCAAAGCCTGGTTAAAAAGTGCCCTCAATGGGAAGAAAGAATTGTTGCTCTCGTTAAATCTAGCGAAAATTACCGGCACTTTACTTATAAAGAAATGGAGCAAGAAATTACTGGAAGAGAAATTCTGCGATGTACTTGGAAGATGCTAGAAGGCAAGGCAAATAATCTTGTGAACGGCATTCAAAGCCGCTCAGATAAACTGGACAAATCAACATCATGCCCTCTGTCGGAGCAAACTAACTTTGACAGCTCCATCGAGAACAAGGTAGCTGACTTCAAAAGGCTTGTAGACATATTCCTCTTTGGAGGGGAAGTATACCTCCGCTCACGCTCCACCAAATGCACCACAAAAGGCCTTTTGGAATGGAAAGATAAGGCCAGCAAGATGCGAGATGTATCTCTTCACGAGGAACTGGTTGGCTACTTCAATGATGCCACCGCATTTAAAACATTTCTGGCCTACGAATTGCCAGAAATTACGGAAGCTGTGAGAATGAAGGCGACCATAAAAAGAGAATACAATTTGGACTTGCAGGCCAAAGGAGTCGCTGGCGCAAGAACGAGGGCAAATGCGAAAAGGAAACGTGACGAAAGAATGTTGGCGATGGGCGAAGGGAAAACCGCATTTGTTCCTCTGGTAAAGACATTTCTTCGCGTACGAGGAGAAATCGATAAGGTAAAAATTGTTAATTTAGCTTTTATTAAACTCGATGACCCAATAGGTTAATTATCGAATCCACCGAAAAATTCGATTTTTTTTCTAGCGCGAATTTACCCAACAGCTAAAAATAGCTTAGTAACCGCACATATTTCTTCACCATGTGCTTTTATTTAGCCTGGTTACTGAGGTCAACAAAGATGGCGGTTTGGTTTATACTGACTCTTTCGTTCAGTTTCTTCAGCTGTTTCGTTTGCTTTGGGCATTTGTTATATTCGTACGGTTTTAAAGGGAACAGAATTTTTTGGGACCATGTTCCAACCATTTTGCTACTGGTTTTAAGACGCATCCCAAGTTTAATAGATCGGAAAGTTTAATTCAAGTTTAATTACATGTATTATGCCAGATTATGCACATGGATATATTGTCATTTGATTATCACTCATGTGTGCGCCTTTCTGTTTAAGAAACAAAATCACAGTATTGATGGAAAATCCGAAGGTGAAGGTGAGGGTGAAGGTGATGATTATGGTATAAAGGAAGATACATGTAATGAAGTTGGCAAGGAAATCATTAGCGATGATGACATGCTGGTAAGTGAAATGGCTAATGCTTGTTTGTGAACTTACACTGTACATCTATTATTATTTTGATACAATAAACTAGTTAGTGTTACTCGAAACTAACGCCAGTAAGCTGTTTATTTTTGTCTGCCAGTGGATTTTTGTAAGTCAGAAAAATTCAATCCAAGATAGATAGTTTTGCATTTATGTTATAGTAGGATATATAATTGCTACATATATTTTTTTATATAGTAACATATCATTTGCTTCAAGGAATTATTATGCAGTGTATAAAAATGTAGAGTTATTTTCATTCCTAAGTTCAAGAAAATTTCTGTCCAAATTGTTAGGTTGCTACCTAGCAAAAACAAAAAACCGCACCACAGTAATATAGAAGAACTGCTCAGAGCCATTCATAACATTGGTTGATTAGCTGTTGCAGTTTGCAGTTCTTATTCAATCTGCATGTATGTCATACTGGTGTAGTCCATGGCCTACCACTGGTTAATTTTCTACAGTAAAAAGAAATCAAAAAATCCTATATTTGTGAAAAGTTTATTATGCACATGGCTATACAGGGTACTTCCATTAATTTTGATTTTCTCTCACGAGTGTGACTTTTTGTTTAAGGAAAAGAGTCATGAACAAGACGAAGAAGAAGAAAAAGTAGAAGAAAAATATGAACAAGACGAAGAAGAAGAAAAAGTAGAAGAAGAAGAATATGAACAAGACGAAGAAGAAGAAAAAGTAGAAGAAGAAGATGAACAAAAAGAAGAAGAAGAAAAAGTAGAAGATGAAGATGAAGAAAAAGAAGAAGAAGAGGAAGAAGAACCATGGGGTGAATGGTGCTAATTGGCATGTGCTCAACATGCATCCATATAAGGAAGTGTTCATTATTTATTGGGAGGGGGGCTGGCAAATGGGGAAACTTAATGTTTCGAACTTTTTGTACCCCCCGATGATCAAGGCTAACTTTTCTTGCCTCCCCCAGCGAGAAAGTAAAAACTTTTTTGACTCCCCCCCCCCACCTATTGTAATGATGCATTTATTATAAAACCATACTCACATCCTCCACTTTAATAGCGTTTTACCCAGCTGCTTTTGTATTTTTAATAAGTCGGACATCCACACAGCTGTTACTTTCAGCCAATAAAAGATCAACTGTGACAAAGGCTTTCTATAGCATTCACATTATCATGGTCAAAATTGTATGCCCAATCATCAGTAGCCTCAGTATTAATGAAGTAACTGTAGAGTGAGGAGATTGAAAGCCCGACTGGTGGCTAGAGAGGAAATTATAATCCATGAGAAAGCCAAAGACCTAATCGTAAATAATTCTTTCGAACCTTTGCCAACACTGGGATCTAATAGAGATGGGGCGTTTAATAAGTCAGCCTGATCCCCTTGTTTGAATATCATCGGCATCACTTTTGAACACTTCCATTCTTAGGGGAAAGTGCAATTTGTGAATTTAATTACACACTTGTAAGTTGTTTTAATAAGTATATTTTGTACATAATCTTGACACAGAGATCAATAATATCAGGCGTGGATATAGGATAAAAGATGAGCGATTGACTACAAAACTTGCGCCCAAGGCGCAAGCTCTAAAGGGGTCTGGGGGCATGCTCCCCGGGAAAATTTTTAATTCTTACTTCCTAAAGTCCCCTTTCCTGGGTTTTTCGAAAACCGATTTTACAGTTCACTTTTATTTAAAAAATTATGTTTTTAGGAAAATTCTGACCGATTTCCATAAAATGGTGGAAACCGGTATACATCCACGCCTGAATATTAGGGTAGCATTGTTGTATATTAATTAATACTGTGTTGCATGAAGGATATAAACCATCAAGCTTTTTTAGCCCCCCCCCCTCTTCCTCAGAGTAAAACCTTTCTGCCCCCCCCTATATAAAGGGGTTAAACCTCGCTTGCCCACCCCTCCCATTTGCCAGCCCCCCATAAATAATGAACACTCCCTAACATTGCATGAAAAACATTAGATCATTTTTCATCAGTCATTTTTGAGTTTTGTTTTATTAGATTTCTTCAGCAATCATACAGATGTAAATTACTAAAAAAGGTACTTGAAGCTCCCATAACACATGCCATGATTTGGTGCAGAATATCCATGCTTGAATGCAACTGGTGGTATTTGTTTTGATCGCTTTCAAATAAAATAAATATGATACTGCCAAAAGTATTTCAGAGTTCAAATAAATACACAGTTAATACACAGATAAATAAATTATATCAATTTGTTTCATTGCATCAATGATAGTGAACCATATTTTTACTCGAAAGACCACTGCAACTGTTACAGATTTTTGGGACTCTTTGATATGAGGCTCATTTAAAGGTAGGGCGAAATTGAGGATGGCACTTATTTAAAACTGAACAAATGAAGATGCATAAATAAATAAATAAATGCATTTCAAACGGAGAAACTTCTGTAGTTTTATTCAAATTTGTTCAAAATATCAACTTTTTAAATTCATAGTTATCAGTAACACTTTTAGTGTTATTGAGTACTTTCTTCTATTGCAGCTTGATTCTGTGAGAGTGATGCAAATTTACAAATAAGCAGTTAACTGATATGGATTGAAACTTGCTCAACTTGTTGTGCATTTAGCCTTTAGATCGTTTGTGCGAGGCTCTTACTTGTACATGTAGAACATTTTGCAGTTTTGTTCACATAAATAAAGTTATTTTTTATTATAATTTGAGTGACAAGACGTCAATCAAAATTACCAGTGTCTTTGTACATATATGTCATGCTGTACTGTAAACAATTTGTTGTTATAAGCACTCAAATCTTTTTTTAAAAGTAACAAATCATATACACATGGAAACATAATTATATATGCATTGTACATCAATATTTGAAGAAGGCATATTATGATAACAATAATAATTGATCAAGATGCAACTTTAAGGTAACTATTTTTACTTTTTAGCTTTTTTTGCAGAAATGAAAGCTATCCTTTTTTGTTAATTATTCATAAATTTTGTTAGTTAACTTTTTACAGTAGTTAGTGTCAACTCACTGTATTTTTCCTTACTGGTTTCCATACATTTCTCATACTTGTGAGGAGAAGTTGTTAAAACATTAGGGTGTATAATACTAAGTTCTGTTATAAATACGTATTGTATTCTCAAGGTTGATGTACTGCTACTTTAAAATGGAAGGGGTGTGCGGAATAAGGCCCTAAGTGACTTTTGATCTATTAAATGTCAAATTCTCCCTGTGTTTCACAAGGGAATACAAGGCAATTCAGAAGGAGAATCTGGCAGTTTATCAGAAGTCACTTAGGGCTTTTTTCACCCCTTCAATTATGTTTTGTTTATTTTATGCCTAATAAAAAAACAAACAGAAAAAAACCATAGTGTGTCATTACTGTACTTTATGTCAGTTTATTATATCCTGACTGATTGGTTCCCTGAGTGGTTTTTATTTTCCCAATACAGACTTTATGCTATCTCGATAAGATCTAGTTTTGCTCCTTAAGAAAAATAAAGTTTTTGCTGTGCTAAATGTTTTAAATACTGTCAGATTAAGATAAATTTTGAATAATTGTTTTCCTTTTTTAAAAAAATTTATCTGATTTACTTGTGTGTCTATGCCATTAAGTGCTTTTATTCACTGTTAATAGTTAAGGTGATGGACTTCCAATTCTGGAGGGGGGTGGGAGGGAGGGAGGTTACACCCTTATATGGGCTCATATATACATGACTGACCCTAAAGGGTATGGTTTCTTGGCTGTTTTGGTCTGAAATAGGTTATAGGTTTTAGCCAGTTTGGTCTGAAATTGGGTATGGTTTGTGCACTCTAGTCTAAAACTGAGTATGTTTTTTGAAAGAAGCCACTCTTCATCATTATCGATAAGTCCATCGACAAAAGCCCTTCTCAAATTATGTTCCACGCATGTGTGTGCAATAACAGCTTGTCACATGGGAAGAGTTAGGTCTGAAATAGGGTGTCAAATGAAAATTAAAGAAGTTTTAAAATCTGAAATAGGGTAAGGGTTTTAGAAAGTGGGCTACACAACCCCACCCAATTTTTCTAGGAGTTATTGTACCTTAGTAGCTTATAGACCCATAGTCTCTCACATAGCTTGGGAGACCCATGGTCTCTCGCATATCCCTCCACCTAGCTTGGGAGACCCATGGTCTCTCACATATCCCTCCACCTAGCTTGGGAGACCCATGGTCTCTCACATATCCCTCCACCTAGCTTGGGAGACCCATGGTCTCTCGCATATCCCTCCACCTAGCTTGGGAGACCCATGGTCTCCCACATATCCCTCCACCTAGCTTGGGAGACCCATGGTCTCTCGCATATCCCTCCACCTAGCTTGGGAGACCCATGGTCTCTCACATATCCCTCCACCTAGCTTGGGAGACCCATGGTCTCTCACATATCCCTCCACCTAGCTTGGGAGACCCATGGTCTCTCGCATATCCCTCCACCTAGCTTGGGAGACCCATGGTCTCTCACATATCCCTCCACCTAGCTTGGGAGACCCATGGTCTCTCACATATCCCTCCACCTAGCTTGGGAGACCCATGGTCTCTCACATATCCCCCCACCTAGCTTGGGAGACCCATGGTCTCTTCCTTACCCTGTCCCCCAAAAAGTGGGTCCCTAGCATGTACTATAGTTTTGACCAGTTTCCTAATTATATACTCATATTGGTTTCCAGATATCTTTTTAATCGATTTCTAAATACAACCACCATGGCTTTAAACTGATAGCATTCTTTAGTCTGTTCAGCTTGAAAGGATGGCCATATCAGTCTTAATAACAATTCAGGATTGTGCTCAGGCTTCGCAAGGGGACATAGAAATTTAAGTTTCAAAAATTTGGATCTTAACTGATCAATATACCAGATATACTGCGTTGTACAGAAGGCGCACAGCAAACATAAACTCGACAATGGGGAATGGATCGATCCAGTCTTGGAACTGTTTCAAACGATTTACCAAGAAGAGACAAAACTACAATAGTGATAAATTTTTAGTGTTCGTAGATGAAAAAATTTCCCGCGCCCTTGACCACAAGACTCCCCGCTAATGAATATAACACAAAGTTCACACACCAGTTAAGTAAAATTTGCATTAAGCACGTATTTTTAACTACATTTTCAACAGTCTTGGTGCTGCTCCAAACAGTTTATGGAGAAAAGACAGAACTACCGACTAGTGATAAATTGAGTATGTGATTTACGCTGCAACATCAAAGTCTAAAATAGTGATCAAAAGAAACCTTCTCTTGTCATGAACTTGTTGTAATGAAACATATATATCCTGTGTGAATAAATTACGCTTTCTAGGGAAAAATGCCTATCGAAAATATCTTTGGTCGTGATCTGAATTAAAGGACACTAATTATCTGTCCTCCTTATTTATGGTGTTTGTAGCTAGTGTACTATTTTTTCCTTTTTATCGATCAATAAGCAGTTGATGATTTTTAAACAAAGATATACGAATAATAATAATTATATGGAATATCTCCTAGTTATTCTTAAGTGTATTTGTTAAGATTGACATCTACTGTTGTAACTTCTGCTGTTCAGCACGTATATTGCCTTTTTTAATTTGTCCTCCAATAACATTCGTAGTTAATAATTAATTGATGCATTAATTGATGCCAATTATTTTCGATTAATACCTTCCGGTAGATCGACTAACTGACATGATTTTGAAACTGTAATTTTAGTACCTTCCTCCCTGTTATTGTTTAAATTTTGTTTAGGAGCCAATATTGTGTTCTCTCTCATTGCTCCCCTTGTGTTATTTTGACTGGCCAACCCAAGCTTTTAAAGGGCTTAAAGGCGAAATAAAGAAAGAATTTCTTTCAGACAGAGTAAATACCGTAAAATTCCGAAAATAAGCCCCTTCATGTATAAGCCCCTCCAAATATAAGCCCCCCAAACCGGTGACGCAAAAACTGAGCAGTCAAAGGAGTAACAAGCCCTTGTCAGAAAAACGTGCCAGTTTCTCTTTGCCGACAGCAGACTTTTGGTTTTCCCATTAATAGGTTGATCGAGAAGTAAATGTTACAAAAACTTCATGTTTTATGCACACGTGATAATATGCACTTATTTTTTCCTCATATTCACCTGTTAAGCCTGTGCTTAATGGCCTGAAGGCAGCTTCGCCTCTGCTTCCTGTGGTCAACTGTCAAACTTGTGTAGTTGATGATGGTACTACCATAGATATCATTTTTTAATGTGTTAAAACACACTTGTTTAATCATCTTCTCAATCGATTTCTTTATACAACCACCTGACCTAAATGAAGTCTTTTGGTTGGTTTATAACATACTAATACCCCACTGTTTCTGTCAAAAGGTGAGTGGGCGGATAATGCCGGAAATTTACAATACAAAGTCACTTTTTGAAGGCCTCAGAGGACAGCTGTGCTGTGGCTTCGCAGGGGGCTTACAATTGTCAATAAAAGTTCTGACTCACACAGGATACGCAATATACAGTTCAAAGTTACTTGACTGCATGTGTACGACTCTGTAGATACGTTGCAAAGCTAAGCATGAACTCAACGGCGAACGGCTCCAGCGGATCTTGGACCTGCTTAAATTTTACTGTGTGGAAAATCGGAGGAACCGTTACCTACTGTCTGATCTTTATCGTTTCACTGGTCGCAAATTCTCTCATTGTTATGATCGTTTATAAAACGCCGAACTTAAGAAAACCGATAAATTTTTTCATCGCAAACATGGCCTCATCTGATCTGCTGTATCCAATATTCTGGATACTTTGGAACCTGTCACTCTTGCAAGCCAACTCGTTTGTTATCGGTGGTCCGCTTGGTCAGGCCTTGTGTAAGCTTCTCCCTTTCTTTTCTACCGTTTCCATTACCGTTTCGATTCAGAATCTGATTCTGATAGCAGTGGATCGATTTGGAGCCGTGGCGTTTCCACTCCGTTCCCCACTCATCAGATCCAAGCTGTGTCCTTTCTTCATTCTCGCTACATGGATAGTTGCCGCAGCGGTCAGTTCGCCATTCTTGTTCGCTTACCAGCTCGTTGAATACCCAGAGGGAAACTGGTGTGTTACGAAATGGAAGAAAGCATTCGAAGAGTCATCGTCCAGTGCCAGTTTCTTACTAGCTTTCTCCATTCTGTTTACGTACATACCAATGCTGTTGCTAGTCATTCTTTACTCCATCATTGTTATCAAGCTCAAGACACAGGCACACCCAGGTGAACAGTCCGCCAACAGTCAGCAACAGCGGGACAGAAGAAACCGAAACGTGCTTCAAATGTCCATTGCCATCGTAACAGTGTTGGGGCTTTGCTGGTTACCTAACTCTATCAACGCTTTAATCATATCGTATCAGGACACGCATTTCTCGTGTAGTTTCTCGATATACGCCTCAGTCACCTTTTTTATGGGTACCACGTACTGTGCTATCAACCCAGTTATCTGTTTTCTGTTTAGCAGTAATTACCGAAAAGCTCTTAAAAGACTCATTAAATGTTCTTTTGTACAGGCGTAGGTCGCAAAAATGTGCTTTTGGTTGAAGATGTTAAGAGTTAGAGGTTGGTGGAACACTCGCGAATAAATGTATCATGACTACTGATCAATGTATTTTTAGTAGTAATTATCGAAAAGGTCTTAGAAGACTCATGAAATGTTGTCCTGTACAGGGGTAAGTCGCAAAAATGTGCTTTTGACTGAGTATGTTAAGATTTAGAGGTACGTGGAACACTCGCGAATAAAAAATCACCACCACTGCCGTTGACGTACTTAACTGAGGATTAAGTCTGGCATGACTACGAAATGTGACAGCATATAAATTAGGCCACGTATTGTTAAAGATTGGGCGGTAAATAAAACTCAGGGACGGACCATTAGAAACGTTATTGGGGGCGTAGGCAGGTGAAGTACAACTGTACAACTAAGAACTCTTAATTACTGCAGAACCGCGAAGTTATAGAAAAGGTTCTGCCGAAAAAAAGGAAGGAATAAAGCGGACAATTCTAAACCTCTGTTGAAATTTTAGCACCACCCCAAGGTTTGACACTAATGTTTAGGTCGTCAAAAGAACTTGAGCAAAGAAAAAAGCCGCATGTTTTTGTTGCACGTATGCCGTTCGCCTATTGCAAAAAAATACAGGAACCAAAAACGTTAAACAGGAAGTTTAAGCGGCAAGGTGTTGTCTTTTAAACAAAATCAATCAAATGATACTGCCCTTTGAAATGTTTTTAAAGACATTTTTTCGCTTGATATATTTTGATCACCTATGTTTAAATACCTAATGGGTGTATTTCTACATGCAAATAATAAGTACCACACCAGTTTTATAATGTACACTCATATTGGTTTCCAAATATCTTTTCAATCGATTTCTAAATAAAACCACAATGGCTTTAAAATAGCATCCATTGTCTGTTCAGCTTGAAAGGACGGCCATGTCGGTCTTAATAACAATTATTGTGCTAAGGCCTCGCAAAGGGGACAAACATTGAAGTTTAAAACGTTTGAAACTTAAATGATGGCCTCGATGCATATACTGCGTTGTAAAGAGGGCGACAGACAATGGCGGGCGATCCAGTCTTGGAACTGTTTCAAACGAGTTACCAAGAAGAGACAAAACTACAATACCGGATAAACTGTTATCGTTCGTAGATGAGAAAATTTCCTGCGCTCTCGGACCACAAGACTCCCTGATGACTCTTTTACGACTTCCACGTGGGGCTTATTATTAAGAGCCACATTAAAAATGTCTTAGCCTGGCGTTGTATTTTTGCTATCTATTTGACGCAAATTCAACATACGTTTTCAAATGGGCGTTTTGAACACATTAGAATAAACTAACAGCTCTACACTAGTGAAGAATTTAATAATAATAATAATAATAATAATAATAATAATAATAACTTCATAAAAAATACAGTCCTGGTATTTACATATACTGTTAAGCGATGATAATGCAAGCAACAGACTTCCAAAAAAGTCCTTCGTCCGATTTCATTTGCGCGGGCTATACAAAAGGGGATGCTCTTCAGTGGTTACTGTATGATATTGTTAAATTTTGTTTAGAAACCAATTCTTTGTTCTCTCTCTTTGCTTTCCTTGGTTTTATATGGACTGGACAACCCAAGCTTGAAAGTGAAATTTAAGACCGAAAATCGATTTGACAAAGTAAATAACTCGAAGGTTCAATGTTAATGAGTTTCTCCTAGCCAATTACAAGACTTACTCAAGCATTGATATGAGTTTTAAAGCGTTTGAGTCACTCTGGTCATTATAAATTCATGATTGCTACACCGTTATCGAGCGATAAAATTGTGAACAACAATTCGTAACAATTAAAAGCAGTCAAAGAAGGCTGAACAAGCCTCGTCTATTTGTTGAGTAAGAACCTGCTAGTTTCCCTTTGCCCGACAGCAGACTCCTGCTTTTCGAATTTCCCGTTTTTAGATAGATCGAGAAGTAAATGATATAAACACTGGCTGCTTCATGCACACGTGATAGCAGGCATTTATTTTTGCCTCATATTTTCCTGTTAGGCCTGTTAATTGCTTAACGGCAGGCAGCTTCTATTCCGTGCTTCCTGTGTTTACCTGCCAAATTGTGTACTTTATGATCGTATTGCTAACGATAACATTTCACACACCTGTTTAAAAATGGTGTTAAGCACGCATTTTCGATTATCTTTACCGAGAATCGTTTCAGTCTCACCGTAGCTACATGACAGGTCTATGCATTTCTCGTGCAGTTTTTGGCTATACTTTGATGTCACCATGTTTATGTCTAACGCGTACTGTGCTATCAACCCGATTTTCTTTTTCATTTTTAGCAGTAATTGATTACCAAAAAGCTCTTAAAAGACTCATAAAATGTTCTTTTCTTCGGGCGTAGATCGCAAAAATGTGCTCAGTTTGGCTCGCAAATATATCATATATCATGACTTTCAGTGTACTCCAGCTCTCTGAGAAGGGTTTAATATATTAGTGCGAGAAATGACAGCATAGGCGACGTGTTGTAAGAGTTTGGATAAAACTCGGCCGCGGACCGTTAGAAACGTTATTGGGGCGTGGGCAGGAGAAGTACAAAAGCATTCGTTCATGCAAGGGAAAATTTATTAACCGAAAATTTAAGGGAAATGTTAACGATAAAAATTCGAATAATGATAATGGTATGAAATATCTCCTAGTAACTCTTAACTGTCTGCCTATTGCTGTAACTCCTGCTGTTCAGCACGTATTGCATTTTTAATTTGTAATCACACATCCATAAATAATTCATTGCAAAGTTTAGCCAATGAAAAAAGCTCAACACCTCAGTTCGGTGGATCGACTAATTGATCTGAGATGATTTTCAAACTGTTATTTTAGTGCCTTCCTTGCTCTCATTGTTTAAATTCTGTTTAGAAGCCAATACTTTGTTCTCTCTGTTTCCTCTCCTTATTTTATATTGACTGGACAAACCAACCTTACCCCCCTTACGGTGAAATTTAAAAACAGGCAATCGTTGTCACCAAGTAAATGACTCGAAGGTTCCATATAATGCTATTAAGCCGCTCCTATAGCCAATGACAAAGACTTCTCAGGCATTGATATGAGCTAAGCGGGGGAGTGCGGTTTCTTGCCAAGTGCCACAATCATGTAATTGTAGTACCGGCAGAAGTTCGTAAAATCAAAGGGAGGAAAAGAAATAACAAGCCTTGTCTTTTTGTTGAAGAAGGACTTATTAATTCTTAATTAGACTGGACAACCCAACCTTAACCTCCTTTAAGGTGATATTTAAAATAAGAAATCGTTTTCACCAAATAAATGATTCGAAGGTTCCATATATGTTAATAAGCCGCTCCTATCGCCAATCGCAAATGACTTCTCTAGCTGGTTTACGGGTTGCGGATAGGATAATATTCCATTGAAAAAGTCAAAAAGTGTCAAATGTTTTTAGGAAACAGACGTTTCGCGTAAATAACTCTTCTTCAGTATCAAGAAAACCGTTATTATTACGCCTTCTGGCAATTGCCATAGACATAAAAATGAGGCGCGTGCGCGTGTAAATAATGGCAAGCGCAGCTGAAATTGATATTTAGTCCTTTAGGTTTGAACGGTTCCTTGCTGCAAGAAAACCCTCATTTCACGCTGCTTCGGTTGGATGTCGGTTCCACTGCATAGAGCCATCCCCACACCACACACCTGGAAATCGGAAATACTGTGGCCCGTCGAGTTCAAATGTTGCGCCACAGGAAGCTCAGGAGTGTTGTTGCGCATGCGTATACTTCGCAAACGTTCGCCAAAACGACTCCTGACGTTTTAAAGAACTGGGTATCGGCGGCAGGATATGCAGTAAACAAGATTCCCTGATTGCCTAGAATGTGAAAGTTCTGTAGTAGAAATCCTTTGACTTTGGTGCTAAACGAGTGGCATGCGAGATCAAGACGCACCCAATGAACGGTTGCGAAAGTCTTTTCGAATGGGTGCAGCACGTCATGGTGGTTAATAATTGCATTGATATGAGTTAGGGGGGTGGGTTTTCTGGTCATTGTTAAGAAAAAAAATGCCCCAACATTATCGAGAGAAAGAATTGTAACAACAAATACTGAAGTTTGTAACAATTAAAAACAGCAGTCAAAGACTGAAAAAACACACCTTGCCTTTTTGTTAAAGGAAGAACGTTTGTTTTAGAACTTCCTCTTTTAAGTTCGATCGAGAAGTAAATGATATAAAAACCGCATATTTTATGCATACGTGATGGCATGCATTTATAGTTTTGCCTTTAATTCCTGTTACGCCTGGGCTTAAGGTCTTAAAGGCAGCTACGCCCCTGCCTCCTGGATTTAACTCCTAAATAGTGTAGTTCATGTTTGTATATGCGTATTCTTAAATTGGCACTTAAGCACATTTCCAGTTATGGGCTTATCTGCTTTAGCAGGCAAATTAGGCATTTCCGTTGAAACAGCTAAAACAAACATTTTTGGGTGATATTTGGCTATCTTTAAAACAAGGAACGGGGAATTGGGGAATGGGAATGGGGAACGGGGAACGGGGAATCTTTAAAAGCAGGAATCTTTCAAATGGGGAATCTTTAAAATGGGGAATCTTTAAAAGCGGGAATCTTTAGATATTTAGAACAAAAGGACACTGTTTGTTAAGTTGGACTACTGTCAGCTTTATTAATCATTCGAAGCCAAATAAAATTCCAGCTATTCACTTTCAGCACATTTTCTTGAATTCGAGAAAACCCATTTTATGATGGATTTTTACCCCGGGGAATTTTAAAACCACGACAACATCAAGGTAAGTGACTCACAGAATTGAAACAACGACGACATAAATATTATTTCAAATAATGACTTGTAAAAAATATAACATGAATGTAACAATGACGAACCGTAATATATGTTTCGGGCGACCTTCAATAACAGCAACAGTAACAGTAACAACAGCAAGATATGTTGTTTTCCTTGTTCTACATTAAATTGTCCCAAAGATAAATCCAGTTTTAGGTTTTTAACCACTACTATCGAAAACCATAAAAACCGCTCCGAATGAGCCTTGTCCAACCACATCCTGTTCCCCTAGATCACTCCATTTAATTTGTGGAAGGCCTTCGAAGCGAACGATTCGCTTCTTCTTCACCCTTAATGTCAAAGGCACTTTGAAATTTCCAGGAGACCACATAGCGTAGAAAGAGGTAAAACCGTAGTGGCTACAAATATACGAATATTCCCAAAAAAAATGCTGCACAAAAAATAACAATTTCTCTGTAGATCACTGCATAAAGTTGTAATGAAATATTAAATTCTCCTCAGTCTTCCGTTTCCCGGAT